CCCCACCAGGTGTCTCTTGTTAATAAATAAATCAGCATGTAGCCATGCCACCTGCTTGTTTGTCTCTTGTTTGTCTTTTAGTAATAATAAAATATTGTATAGAATAGGTTGAAATCCGGATTTAGAAATCCACAAGGTGCCTATATAAAGGCCTTGAGGCAGAGAAAAAGGGGATAGATTACTCAAGAGTATACTTGACACTAAAAAAGAAGTCTGGTTCTCAAGCCTTCTTAGAGCAAACAATACTTTAGCAATCTAATAGTCTACAAACACTCCTTTCCTTGTAAATCTTTGTTCAATAAATAATTTTTTTTTTCATTTTTAGAAGAGAGTGTGTTATTATTGTATGTCAAATTATTGATCTTAGGTCTCCTACATAATCAAAGAAACAATTTCTGAAGTTATGGCATAAGGTAGGAAACGAAATAGATCGGTGTTGAGCTTGATCTATGGAAGGAAAGGTTAATGTTAGCCACCTCTGTAAACTGGAAGTTTGATAACGCCAGAACCCTATGCCGACTACGTTTAGGTAACAATCAAAATCTTTAGATACTGTTCTTATTTTGAAAGTATAGTTGGCCTAAATCAAAACATCTTCATAATTTAAGAAGTAACAATAATAAAGTTTTTTTTATGAGTATTTATCACCATTTCTATATTCAGGATCTATTGTTAGATCGTATTCAAATAATAGTATTAATAGTAAACTGTCAACAGTGACATAATTTTTTTAAAAATCTACTAAATATTGGTACTACTAACTATATAGAATTTACTAGAAAAGGAGTTAATAACTTAAGAAATCATCTATTATCAACAACAACTAGATATAATATCAAAAAAGAAAATTTATATTCCACATCAACACCACATAAGAAATCCACATCATTTGAACAACTTGGGCCATCTTATTCACACGGGCAATCTAGCACTACCCCTTATTAATAGTGTCACACCCCCAATTTTTATTACTTGGATAATTTACCAAATTCCTTATAAAAGTCCATTTCCAATCATAATTATAGAAACACCACAAACTAAATAGAATAAAAGAAGTTCTCTCTCTCTCTCTCTCTCTCACTCTCACACACACACACACATAATTACAATGAATGAATGTTAAATACAATCAATTATATATGCCCCTGTTGGCTTATATGGAAGATTTCAAGATAAAATGAATACATTGAAAGAATCACTTCAACATCGCCACCTTTCAATCAATCATTTAAAATTTACACAAGACAGACTCAAACAAAATAAATAATAACTCCTGGATCTGCAAATTGTGGTTTCATACTCCATTCCTATAAAAATATTTAAACAACATGGGATGAACACAAGATCCAGTACAAATCTACAGTAATCCTCAACAATAAAATCAATAGATATATGCGATCATGAATGCTATCAGGTGATACAAACATAAATAATGTACCATTGAATATGCAAAATAGATTACATAATCAGATACTCTTTTCACAAAATTTCACTTGACGTTTTGAAGAAAAACACATTTATCATCTTCATCTCTTTTCAGTATTTAATTGTAAGATTTCCTCAAAATTCCCTTTTTCCTTAACAAAGATTTTAGTCCAACTAATCCTATGTTCTTTCAAATTCTTGTTTTATACTTATTAATCATGCCACAACTCATCACCTTATCAATACCCTCAACATACACACAACAACACATTTCACACATTGAAATTATACAATTTGATTCATATCATTCCTATCCACTACAATTTGTCACGTTAACATATACAACTTATCACATAATTAATAACAAATGCCCACGTGCCAACAACATGCTTCACCAACCAAGCCATTCCAACACATTTTACCGGGTGCTACTCTGGAAGGAAAGCTAGAACCTATCTCCAGCACCACGCTTTACCGGTGGCTAATTAGAAAGAAAGCGGAACCTCCATATAGCCCAACAATCCACACACTTTACCGAGCACTACTTGGGAAGGAAGGTGGAACCTCTATCAAGCGCCACACTTTACCGGTCATAAGCCAGAAGGAAACAAACCCTCTTTCCAAAACTTTCACCCTTCAATTCCTCATTTCAATTTACAAAAATTACACCATTTAATAATCAAGGTAAAATTTCTTCTTTATAAAGAAAGATGATTTGTTTTTCTCAAATTTCAATCACAACTTCTTTTATTTAATTTACACAACCCATTTAATGTCATATACTTCCATAGTTCATAACATCAAATTCCATCACCAATTACACCCCACAAGAATTGTTCTCATAACATCTAATAATCAACAATCATGCTCAATTTCAATCAAGCATCAACTCAATTTCAAGAATCAAAGACCAATTGAAGAAAACCCCATGCTAAAATAAAATCAAAACTAGGGTTTGGATAAAATTTGGGGCTTTCCACCTTAAAGTACATAATCATATTTTCAAGACACCAAAACTTCCATAATCTACTTTAATCACATGTTTAACTCTTTTGTCTAGAACACTAACTCCCTCTACATGCTTTTCAAGAAAATCCCTTTCAATATAAGGTTTTATGTAATAAAAACATACCACCTATCTATCTATACGAAGATATTGAGGAGAAGCGAAGAAATCCCTAGCTTTAGCAAGAAGAGGAAGATATCCAGAAGACCAGCTTCAACGAAAACACGATCTGTTCTAATTAATAGAAAGCCCTCGTCGTGCTCATCATTTTTGTAAATGGGACTAGGGTAAAATTCTCACTAAAGGAGATAAAATGCAAGATTTGAAGAGCTTTGAAGCTCAACAATGGCTGGAAAGACAGAGAGGAGAGAGAATATGGAAAGAATGAGGAAAAATGGGATAAAATGACTTTTAAAGTGCTGATCCTGAATAGACAGCTCGAGGGAACATTTTACTGCTTAAGCGGTGAACGCAATCACTTAGAAGTTTTGCAGGTCTACAGTTAAAATACTAGGAGCCTCGCATCTCCGCTAAAGTGACTATTTAGTTACATAGCATAGTTTCTAAGGCACTCCCAGCACATCAACCTTATTTTCATATGTAAATACTTTCATTTAGCCTTTTACATTTATATTTCATTTACTTAAGTTTACAATGTAAATAAGGAATACCCCTCATTTGGATTCAAAGAAAAATACAAAAAATCAATATCCAATTCAATCGAAAGTGACTCCCCCAGTTTTAGTACAAAAATAATTTTTCGACTGAAATTTCTAAGTTTGACGTTGAAGTAAAGTGATCAATACATTGTAGAAAAATCCCATAAAATCAAATTAGATTATTTGATATATAAAGAACAATTACTGCCAAATATTATTTTCAAAATCGTAAATTTTGAAAAATTCAAATTTTGTATTTAGAAAATTTTCAGACTAAGTCAAATTTTTGATAAAAAGCTTAGATCTTGACCTAAATCGTCACAAATAGACTATCAAGGGCCTTGGCTCCTTGTCCCAAGTAAGAAATGTTGCTTGAATTGTTTTATTGCTATCCAAGACTTTTCACTTATTACATATGGTCCCCTTGTTAGCTATCATCCAATATATAAAAATATTAGAAAATTCTTTATATATATATATATATAAAACAAGCTTTTATGTGATGTAAAAAAGAATGAAAATACCAACTAAATATACACCTAGGGGTGTAAAAATGGACCGGCCCGACCCACCTGAACTCGGGCTCAGGTTTGCACGTTGTTGGACCTAGCGGGCTCTCGCAAAAATTTAGGCCAGGCCGAGGCTCAAACTTGGGGTAGGCCTGACTATTTTTTTCATTTTCTTTATTTTTTTCCCCAAAAGTTTTATGTTTTTTTCCCACCAAAATAGCTTGGAAATGGATGTGAGCCTCGGGCGGGCTGGGTCGGGCCTTGAGCGGGCTAGTGGACCAGGACTAGCCTCAAAACAGACGACCCAAGCACAGGTTCTCAAGTCTGGGCTGTACTAGGCCGAGAGCAGGCTTTAGGTGGGTCGTGTGCTCGTAGGCTGATTTTACACCCCTAATACACCTTTAACCTTTGTTTGTTTTTGTTTTTCAAAGTAAAATTTAATAATATTATTGCATTAATCATATCTTATTTACCATCATGAGAACTCACAAAGATTCAATTGAGGGACTTCCCTTGTAGAGTGGTGTTTTTTTTCAAAACTCGAGTTACTCATTGAAGACTTAATTTCACTTCAATAGATAACGGGGTTGATATATACCCAATATATATATATATATATATATCAATTAATTTATAATTTTTATTTTATTTATATGTTAAAGTTGAATAGATATGACTTCTCTTCTGATCATGATAAAACTAAATAAATATTAATTTGTTGTGTATTACTTTAGTATTAAATATTAATTTATTTTTCATTTTAAAAATGAAATATGATAATTTTAACAATTGATAAATAAAAAAATTATACATATCTGGGCTCCTCCAGAATTAAAATTTTGATTCCACTCTTAAGTAATAGAATCTATTACATCAATAATACATAAAGGCTATGTTTGATTCAAAAGATTAATAGTGAGGTATTAATAATCCAATCAAATTAGTATGGTATTTACTATCCAATTGGATTAATAGGATTGGATTAATAATCTCACCCCTACCCCATTACTAATAATCCTACAAATTTGTTGGATTAATTATCCATTGAATTAATAATCCTAAACCAAAATGTTAAAATAAACATAGGATAATTGGGCCCACGGATTAATAATCTCAATCTTATACTCTAATCCATCCAATCAAACATGCCCAAGGTGATATATCAAAAGTAGTATAAAAATTAAATAAATTATAACATTATTATTTTATAAATTGGGGTTTTTTTTTTTTTTTTTCAATTGGCCACTAACTTTTATCTGTCACATTTCATCATGAGATCACCTGGCTTTCGCATCATCTTTTCAAAATTCTGCCGTTGATTACTCATTTACTCTGTCGGTTAAGCTCAAATATTTCGGTCTTTTGTTTTCCTTTATATTCTAGTGTATTTTCTTTCTCCTCTTGAAGATTTCTCCATTATTTTTCTCAGGTTTGGTTCTGTGTTCTCTCTTGCTCTCCTTTCTCGATTTTGTTGAAGTATTTAGGCTTCCTGTTCTTTGAATGACCCAGTTCATTTGAATTTTCGTTAGTTTTCTTTACCCATCTGTCGATTTTATTTTACTTTCCCCCAAAATTGTGATTTTGTATTCTTTGCCCTTTCTTCATTATTATTATTACTATTGTTATTATTATTATTATTATTTTCATATTGTTTTACCAGCATTCAATTTTCTTTGTTTCATGGTTGTTTTTTTTCTTCTTCTTTTTTTTTTTTGGTTATTTGCAGAGGTAGATGTTGAAAGTGGATCAAAGGTAAGCGTATATTTGTTCCCTTTTATGTTATTTTGTACTCTTTATTCTTTTTATGTCTCCTTGTTTTGGCTGTTATGTTTTTCTTGGTTTGATTTTTTTTTTTTTTTTTTTTTTTTTTTTTTTTTTTTTTTTTTTTTTTTTTGGGTTTTGTTTGCAAAGGTGGATTTTTGGGCCCGTTTTTTTTCCGCACTAGCAGTCCGGAGTATGTTTGTTTTGTTTATAGAGGTCTAGGTTCGTAATCTCTTTGAATTATGAAAGGTCTTGAACAAACGGATTGATAGTTTGAGCAAAAAGATAGTATTAGAAAATAGTTCTTTTGAATTAGAGTGTTATTGAATATTCGAGGGATGATTGTTCGAACGTTCGGCCGGTTAATCAATCGATCTTCCAACTGGTCCTAGGTCAAGTTCAATTTTTTTTTTTTTTTTACATGTTGGGCAACACATTTGAACATTAATGTTTAATGTTTTTGTATTTTTTTTTGGGTTAAAAACTATGGTTTTATTTATTTTATTATTTTATATTTATTTTCTAAAAAAATAATTGAATAATCTCCACATTAATAACTATCATCAAAATAAATACAATTTTACTTAATTCATTTACTAACAATTTCCTTATTATTAATCTCCTTTATTCTATTTCTAAAAACAAACTGCCCCTTAGAGCATAAACTTAAATGTTTTTCCTTTTCTTTTTTTCTTTTTTTTTTTTTGGAATTGTTTTGTATTTGTATTTTATTACTATTACTTCATTGGGGTTGAATTTTTCTTGTGTTTGATTCAAGGAGTTGGGGAAGAATTTTTTGGTGAGGGAATGGTACTTACATTTTAAATACCCTTTTTCTTTTCTTTTTTTTTTCCAAATCCATGACGTACACATTAAACACAACTTAAGGAACCTTGGTGTTTACTCTCTCTTCTTGTGTTTGCAAGCTCAGATATACCAAACCAAGCCATGGTAAATTTATTTTTTGTTGTTAGGTTTTCTTTTTTTGTCCCCCTTGTCTTACATACTCTCGATCAGATGCATTTTTTGGGTTGTTTTGTGTTTCTAGGGATCAAATTTGGGTTTAATTTGAGCTAAAATTATTTTCCTTTTCGATAGGGCATGATCAGTTGTGTAGTATAAGGTTGGTACAATTCAAAATGGACGACCCTTAATTCAAAATATAGTCTCTCTTCGCTGCCAAAAATAAAAAATAAAAAATAAAAACACAGATATAAGAACGGAGAATTAATCATAGAATCTTCTCAATGGTTCATTTGCTGTGTATGGTTGTATATGTGCTTCATTCAATTTGTTAAATATCAAATTCTATCTAGTTCGTTTTGCTTTTATATAACGAACTATATGCGACAACCATTCATTCGCTTTGCTGTCACTCTGTTGGACTCGGGATATGTGATGCCCCGGTGGGAGATTATGGTCCTGTTTGGTGTAGTTGTTAAAACAGATTAAAAATTATAACTTAACAGATTATAGATTATGACTTTAATCAGAAGTTGTTAATCTGTTTGGTATAGCTGTTAGATTATAGATTTAAGTTGCTGAGTAGTGTTTGTTAAATAAGCTGTGAAGTAGCTTTTTCAATTAACTTTTATTTTTTATTATTCACTATTTGTCTATATTTCTCATAAAAAAATAATAATAATATTTTATAGTCCATTTGGATCTTTTTCTATTTTTAAAAAAATAAAAAATAAAAAAATTTAAGAGTATAACCGTAAATTAACATGTCCACAGCAGAAGCTGATAATCAGAAGCAAGTGGTAAGCAGCTTCTCAGAATCAGCTTTTTTAACTTAAAATAAGTTGTTAGAATAAGAAGTTATTTGAAATAAGTTTAACTAAACAGTCCAAAATAATTTTTTAAAAGCCAGAAGCTATAAGTTGGCTCAAAAAAGCCACACCAAACACCCCCTGTCTTGAGTTTTTTTTTATATTATTATTCAAACCGTTTATTTTGTAAAGTTCGTCGAATATATTATTCTTATAAAAATTTAAGTTAATTGAGAATTCGTAATCCTATGATCCAAATATAATTGTTTTAAAAAGATTATCAAAATAATGTTAATTGTTTATTTTTAAAAAAAAATAAATGTGCTCTTGTCACAAAGTTAGAGATATTCAATCAATTTAATTTTTTACATAAATAATTTACTTAACAAATTTTACAATATGAATCATTCAAATCACCCTAAATGATTCGAAAAAATATGACTTGATCCCCAGGTCCCGTTTTGTTTGGTTATTTTTATTATTATTCTCATTATTTTTTAGGTTGGTGGTTCTTCATGATGGATCACATTTTTAGGGAAACCAATTTTCTATGACAACTGAGGATTACACAAAGGAGTATTACAATGCTCCTATCTTCAAAATGCCTATTAAAAAGACTATTAATGTGAATAAACCGTGGTAATTAATTGTGTAACTACATAAAAGAATATAAAAGAATTCTATTATGCAAACTTCTTACCATATAATTTTAATTATGCCATTTTTTTTTAAGTATAATTAATTTTCTTTTTTAGTTATAACATTATTTTGAGATTTTTAGTTATGTTTCATTTGTGTGTGGTTATGATTTTTTTTTTTTTTAATTATGACTCAGAAAGTATGAAATTATATCATTTTCTTCTATTGTTATAAGGTACATATAGTACACACACCTCTCAAAGGTGTGTATCATAGTCTTTCCCAACTATATATATATGTGAGTATTGTTATTCAATTTAAAAAATTAAACTTGCTTTCTACACCTAATGATGTGGCGCTCTATTAAATATCTAAATCAATTCTCTTTTTTATTTATGCTCTAATTATCAATAAATCATCATGTTAATATATCACTGAATTTAGAAAATGAGCTTGTATATCATTTTTCATGTATATATATATATATATATATATATATAAGAAAATGTAGCGATCTTTTAAAAAATTCTAAACTCTCAATCCTAACATCTCATGAAACTCTTTCTTACGTGGCATATCCATTCTTCTCTCATTCTATTTTCCTTTTTTCTTTTTTCTTTTCTCTTTTAAATTTTTTATTTCACTTTTTAATTACTTAGGGCCTGGATATATATGATATCATATGGATAAGAGAGTTTCCATATATTTAAAGATAAAAGATTTTCAAAATATTTAAAGATAAAAGATGAATTTGACTTTAATTCATATTTCTCCACTAGAGAGTTTGACTCTAATTCAAATTTCTTCATCAGATTTATATCTTACCCAAAGCTATTTCAAATTTCTTCATCAGATTTATATCTTATCCAAAGATATATCAAAAAAATTAAAAAAAAAAAAAAATTTAAACATATAAATCTCAAAACCCAACTTCCATGGCAATATGAAATTAGACAAAAAGATTGTAGAATAGAAATGACATTGCAAAGAAATTAAACAGGTAATTTAACCAATTATGCAAAAAAATTGGCATCTTATGTGAAAAGAAGCATATGTTTTAAATCTCATATTATATTTTTTGCTCTCTTTTTCATTTGTAGGTTTTTTTTTTTAATTTTTGTTTATTTAGTGTATTTATTTATTTTTTTGCTTTATAATCTAAGTAAGTTGTTGAAATTATAACAATGTAATATATGCGCTTATACCTACTGTCACGCCCTAAATTTTATTACTTGGATAACATTATCAATATTCATTAATTAAGTTCATTTACAAATGGCAATTCATCATTTGATGAAATGATGAATAATTAAATATACATGTTCCCTCTCGTGATACAATAAAGACATTTACATACAAATAAAAAAAAATGCCCTGAGGCTTACAATAAAAGAGAGGACACTACTCTTTACAAAATAATAGCACTCGGCCAAACAGACAAATAAAGTAGTACAATCCATCACTACATTACACTTATGAAATGGTAAAACTCATTGTTTGATCTTCAAATCCAAAAAACATTTCCTGCACATATGTACAGGAAGGGGGTGAGCAACCACTAGCTCACCAAACAGTCTCATATTAAAACATTAAGAGATATGTGAGTACAAAGATAATCATACATATACTTGAAATCATACAATGTCAAAAACTATACGATTCTATTACATCATCCCTTAAATCCTATTTATTTAATTAACCATAACTAGTTAACTTAAATAAATAAACATGTTTTAATGGCAACATAACATCCTTTTTTAATTCATTCAATTACCTCATTGTTAATTGAATCAAATAATTAAATAATTCATAATGGCATCTAACAAAGCATCAAATACATTTTATATAGTCTTATGAGATGAATGCATATGCCATGTCATGCTCAAAATATTTTTCTCATCTTTTGAAAATTTTATGCACAATGCCAATTTGAAAACACATTAATCCAACAATTTCAATAAAATTCTAAGGTGGTAAATACGACTCAGGTAATCCTTAGGCTGGTGTCTGCAAGTAGACTATACAAGTATTATCAAATTGTCATTTTTACCGGTGTTAATCGGAAGGCTCGACACCTATCCGCGCAGATTTCTTGTCTTTCACCATGGACACTCAGGCCAACTTAACCAATACCAACTAACCCCCTATCCAGACTTACCAACGTATTTACCAAAAACAAAACAATAGATCTTGTTTCATAAAACAATTTCTCTTTTAAAACCATAACCTTCCAATGCAAGATTAAAAAATCAATTTCAATAGTGGTTCGATAAAATGACAATGCAAAATGTACAATCCTTCATATGATTTCATTTCCAATTTCCTCCACACAATTCTCCATTGTGATCAATTTCCATATCCCTATCAATGTAATATCATGATACAATCCCAAGAGATAATATAACAATGCCAATGTTCATGTATTTACCACATGTAAATCAACAACTTCTAACTTAGGCTTAGTTTGGGAAGATTGAAAAAAGACAAAAAGTCAAAAAGTCACTATCTTATTTGAGTCACATCATCTTATTTAAGTCACATCACATCTCTAAAATATCACTTCAAACCCAACCTAAACCCAACCCATATTTCATAAAAAGTCAAAAAGTACACTTATTTAGTCTTCCCAAACTAGGCCTTAGTCTTTTCATGACAATTCAACAATATTCCTTATATAAAACAAACTCCCAAAGTCAAACATTTTCTTACCTTTCCAAAAATCTCCTCATTTAAACACCAACATGGCAATCCCCTACCAATTATCAAAACTAAAATTTCTAAGCAATAGGTTCATCAATAGTAATAACATATGACACCAAAGTGGGTTTAAGTTTTCATCGATTTCTAACTCAGATGCTTTATCAATGAAATGTAATTACAATCTTTTCAAAACTCATCCACATTCTAAACATTAAATAGAATCAAATTCTCATTTTTCTCATGCAAGTGAAATCTCGAGATCTTCAAGTTCAATCATAATTCTCAATAAGTATAAGTGAATATTCTAACATTAAATCAATTATATCAAAATCTTCTATTGACTATAAATATAAAAATATAACGTGAGTGTTCACTTTCCGATTATCAACATCAACCGCATCAAATTAAACCAAGGAAAAGTAAATAAATAAAAATTTTGATAACTCATTCTTCTTTTAATCCAATTCATCCATTTGCTCCAAACAAGCTAAAATCATATTCCTTTCTTTTATTGTCAAAATCTTCCAAAACAATTTGAATATCTCATATATGAATTTTAGATATTATTATGATAACATAACTCAACTAGTAAAACTATGTACCAAATACCATATCACATCAACTCAATCTCGCTTAATTCTCCAAATCTTATTCTTGGTCAACATCATCACTTTTTAATCTCATAATATTAAAAGTTAGGAATTTAAACCCAATAACACCCCTTTAATTACGAAGGATTTTAAATATTAACCAAACTAATTTAATTCATCAAATTAGTAAATCTATTAAATTCACCATCTTCCAAATTAATACCACCAAACATAAATTCATATGACTCATCACTCAAAATACCCTCACATTTCAAGCCTAGCCATTTTTTCCAAATCTCTACAAACCACAATTTCACAACTTTTCTAAAATTAATAAATTAACATAAACAAAAACATCATGAATATCACACTTTTAGAGTCTTAAATCCCAAAATCATTATATAATCTCAACTTAACAATTCACACCATATTCATCAATATCAATTTATTTTTCTTCTCAAAAATAAATTCCAAAACTCAAAGACGAGATAAATATTTCAATATTATTTTTCCAAAATAAATTATCTAACCATAATATGAGGTAGATACAACACATACAATTATTTATTTTATTTTATTTTCAAATTTTTAACAAGTATTTCCAACACAAGATGATTTTTCCAAATCAACTTCAAAATAACAATATTCTTAACATTTCAACATTATTTCTCTTCCAAAAGTTACCAAACAAAAATCTCAAAAAATATATATATCTATATATATATGTAATGCCTCCTATGAATATATATTTTCTCAAAATAACCATAATATATTTTTAATGTAGTAATATGAAAAAGTCCCTACCTCAAATATGAAGAAAGCAATCTGAAAATGCAAACATCATCCGATCATGAATTTGAGAATACCATTGCAAAGATCACGACGAGCTCTCCAACTTTCATTTACAACATTTTTGCAAAATCTCACTCTAAGGACTCTCATTTCAAGCTTAAAGATTGAGCATCAATGGAGAAAAGAGAGAGAGAGAGAGAAAGAAAGAGAGGGGTGACGCTGATAGAGAGAGAGAGAGAAAGAAAGAGAGGGGGGACGCTGATAGAGAGAGAGAGAGAGAGAGAGAGAGAGAATGTGTGTTTGTGTGTGTTGAAACATCAACTCTCTGCTTCCAGCATAGTCCAGTCAAAAAGGAAGGAAAAGAGGGTTGGGGCAGCCCATCGTGGGCTGTCACCCATTAAAATTAATGTAGTCTTTAATTATCGATTGATATAATTAATTTTATAATAATATCTTAAAATTATATAACATAATTTATAAAATGATATAATTTTTCTTACCATAAAATATAATATTTTTATATTCCACAGAATATAATATTTTGTTCACTATTAAATATATACATATTTCATTCTTTATAAAATACATAATTTTTCGCCATATGATACACACCATAAAATCAACTATCAAATATTTATTATAATCCTATATAATAAATAATAACAACTTCCAATGTAATTACTACCAATCACTTAATTAAAAAGGGCCAAACAGTTAAACACGAGTCATAAACAAGTTTAAATAAAATTAAATCTAAGTCATGGGCCTCACCCATAAGTCAAACTTGATCCAATTATACACTAAAATAGACCTAACAAATTTATCTCAAATCCTGGTCTAAACACCGGAAACTAAATTTCAAATTCTGTTATAAATTAAACTGAACACCAATCAGTCCGTGAATTTTCAAAAAATAAATACTCATCATTAAATTCTGAAATATTTGTCCAACGTGCTAGACTCATATGGGAACAACATATAAAAATTTCATAATTTTCTGAGATTGGGACCTATTTTTAAAAAATACAAAACCGAACTGTTTTCGCACAGAATTTACACAGCAATCAAATTCAAAAATTTGCTCAATTAAATTATACATTGGCTATTTTAAATAAAAAAAAAATCCGGGTCATTACACCTACAAAATCTATTATTCATTTTTTTAAAATTTTACAACTACAATGCACAGGAAAAAAAAATAACAGAGGCAACAAAAGGCTAAAAGACCAACACAAAAGAGTGATGTTTTGCGATGTAGTTGGAGTTCACACGGTTTTTTTTTTTTTTTTTGAAAAATATTACCAATTGAGAAGAACATTCATGAGTTTAAAGGAAGTTTTTGTACAATCTCATTTATTTTTCATTATAGTTTTTTCTTCAATTATATAAATTTTTTTGTTATAATATATAAGGAGGACACTCAATTTAAATCCAAATGTAACTAAATTTAATTATGTAACTCTACAATATTTTTGCTTACATTTTTATTTTTTAATAATTTGAGCTATTCATGGGTTTAAATTTATTTCTTTGCATATATGTAGGGAGTATATTAATTAAGTAGGATTAGACTTTAAAATGATGAGTTTCTCTTTTGCAATAAAAAGTCCTTTGCACAAAGGAATATTTGAATCTCAAGATTGGATCTAAAATTCCTTGATAAATATGCAAATAAACTATTTTATTTTCAACTTATAATAGTCTTTATATGTAGATAACAAAAAATCTATGTTTTTTACTTAATTATTATTTAATAATTAATTTCAATTATGTTATTGAATGTCATGTAATTTTTAAACAGATTGGATTCAATATGTAAATACTTCAATAAAAGGTTGGTTCATTTCTTATAAACAAAATTATTATTCAACTATGTTGCGTTGAAATTATAAACAATTACATATTCATAATCAAAATTTTAAAACTTAATTTAAATAAATATATTTTATGTATTTAAACAAAAATCATAGGTAAGAAATTTTTTTCATTGATTGTTGAATTTTATATTCGCATGCATAACACATGTCACTACCAGAGAAATATTCAAGTCATGCGCATTCTATGCTTAAGATAATATTATTTAAAAGAATGATTATATTATCATATAATACAGTAAAAATAAAATTGATTAATGTTTTAAAAAGAAAAGTGATGCTATTTTTTTTATTTAGTAGTTTCAAAATACACAAATTGCTAAAATTTATAAGTTATAGACACAAAAAAACAAAAAAATAAAAAAGGTAATCCTTTGATTTTTTTTTTATAATTTTAATTAAGTAGCTTTAGAATACAAAAATTGTTTAAAATTATAGGTAATAGATACAAAATAGAGTTAAAATTTTTATAATAAGACAACATAATTGCTTATTTTTTAACAACACAAAATTTAAATTTTAAAAAATTATAAGTGGCACTTAAATCTTATCTAATTTTTAACCTACTATTTTAATTCTTTTTTTTTAATTTTATTTACAAATTTACAAATTTTAAAATATTATCTGTGCTATTTCACTCTTATTCTATTTTTAAACTACTACCCTTTCCGGTTTTTTTTCTATTATTAGAGGTATATTAGATTTTATTTTTATTTTTATTTTCAAGTTTATCTTATCTTATTTTTGAATTTTTAAATTTTATTTTGTTTTATTTTTTTTTCAATGTTCATTTGATATTTACTGAATTTCTGTCTACCTCATTTTTCTAGAATTTGTCTAATTTTATTTTTTTTTCTATATTTTTGTAGTTTATCTTCAAATTTAAACTTAATTTTTTAATCTTTATCTTATATTTACAAAATCCACTCTTGCTCTAGATTTTCAGTTGAATTTATTTATTTTCTCTAAAATTTATCAAATTTTCACTTTCAATATTCTTATAGTTTATCTTCAAATTTAAACTTATATTTATAGAATTTCACTATTGCTCTTCATTTTCAGTTGAGTTTATCTGATTGAGTGTGTTTCAAAAAATTGAATTAGTGGTGCATAGGACTGCAAACGAGCCAAGCCGAGCCGAGCTTTAGTGTGTTTGGGCTTGTTTATTAAGATTTTAACGTGCTCGAGCTCAATAAAAATTTAACGAACCGAACTCAAGCCGAGTTGGCTTAGGCTCGACTCGAGCTCGAGCCTGTTCACGAACCTTAACGAGCCAAAAAATTTATAAATTTATACTTGCATATGAGTCTAAAGTTACAATTAAAACTTTGATTATACAATTATATATACAATATATATAAACATACTAAAAAAAAGTCTATATTTTACTAAAATAATCACACATAGATTTGTTGAGAGAAGATGGAGGAAGAGAGAAGAAAGAGAGAAGAGGGAGGAAGAGAGAAAAAAGATCCACCCACTACCGCTGTCGCCATCACCCTCACGATGGTCCTCTGTATGTATACACAGATTTGTGTATACACACACATAGATTTGTTGAGAGAAGATGGAGGAAGAGAGAAGAAAGAGAGAAGAGGGAGGAAGAGAGAAAAAAGATCCACCCACTACCGCTGTCGCCATCACCCTCACGATGGTCCTCTGTATGTATACACAGATTTGTGTATACACACACATAGATTTGTTGAGAGAAGATGGAGGAAGAGAGAAGAAAGAGAGAAGAGGGAGGAAGAGAGAAAAAAGATCCACCCACTACCGCTGTCGCCATCACCCTCACGATGGTCCTCTGTATGTATACACAGATTTGTGTATACACACACATAGATTTGTTGAGAGAAGATGGAGGAAGAGAGAAGAAAGAGAGAAGAGGGAGGAAGAGAGAAAAAAGATCCACCCACTACCGCTGTCGCCATCACCCTCACGATGGTCCTCTGTATGTATACACAGATTTGTGTATACACACACATAGATTTGTTGAGAGAAGATGGAGGAAGAGAGAAGAAAGAGAGAAGAGGGAGGAAGAGAGAAAAAAGATCCACCCACTACCGCTGTCGCCATCACCCTCACGATGGTCCTCTGTATGTATACACAGATTTGTGTATACACACACATAGATTTGTTGAGAGAAGATGGAGGAAGAGAGAAGAAAGAGAGAAGAGGGAGGAAGAGAGAAAAAAGATCCACCCACTACCGCTGTCGCCATCACCCTCACGATGGTCCTCTGTATGTATACACAGATTTGTGTATACACACACATAGATTTGTTGAGAGAAGATGGAGGAAGAGAGAAGAAAGAGAGAAGAGGGAGGAAGAGAGAAAAAAGATCCACCCACTACCGCTGTCGCCATCACCCTCACGATGGTCCTCTGTATGTATACACAGATTTGTGTATACACACACATAGATTTGTTGAGAGAAGATGGAGGAAGAGAGAAGAAAGATCCATCACCGTCGCGATGGTCCTTTGTGTGTATACACACATAGATTTGTCTCTGCTCTATCTCTTTCCTCTCCTCTCCTCTGTTGCTGTGGGTTTGTTTTTGGATTTGGTTTTGGTTTTGGTTTTGGTTTTGATTTTGATTTTGATTTTGATTTTTTGATTTGTGTAGATTTGGTAGATTTGTGTAGATCTTGTTTGTTTTTTTGATTTTTTTGATTTCGATTTTGGTAGATTTGTGTAGATCTGTGTAGATTTGATTTTGTGTTTTTTGGATTTAGATTTAGATTTAGATTTAGATTTTTTCAAAGAGCAAAACAGAGCAGAGGAGGAAGGAAGAAGAGGAAGAAGAAAAGGAAAAACAAAGAAAAAAAAAGAAAAGAAAAAAAAAAGGTGCCAAAACGACGTCACAATGAATTGGAGCTACCTAGCGGGACTGAACATGATCAATAAATTTGAGAGAATAATTTGGTGGATGTGAAATAAATAACAAAGAGACTAACTTCTTTACAGTTCGAAATCAGATTGGATAGGTGTTGCTTGGTTCATTGGGCTCATTTTTGGGCATCGTTTTGATGATGTGTAAATCGTTTATATTTTAAGATTAGTCGAGTACATCATTCCTATAAAAATAAAGGCAACATGATAACAGTGACTAGGTGCTTGGATCAATTTTGTATAAAAAAAATAAAAATTGAAAGTAAAAAAATAAAAGATTCATACAAAAATGACCCAAACATAAAATTATCATTATTTGATTGATTTAAAAAAAAATCGAAATAATATAATTGACAAATTTAAAATAAAAATAATTTAAATTATCAAAATAAAAACTAAAAATTAGCTCAATAAGATGCACGGGACTGGACTGTCGATTTGGGACCCGAGACACTTCAGGTCCATTAAAAAATGAGTTTGATTGTTTTGACGTGCGGGTAGGTAAAATGTGTCTGTTCATTGTCGATGTTGACAAGAAGATATAAATGATTTTGACTAAGGCCAAGTTTGGCATGTTTAAAAAGTTAAAAAA